ATTAGACTGTACTGGTCCTCTATCCCCCCCCCATCTCCCCCCCCCAGTTGGGTGCATTTTTCTAAAGAACTCCTTTGTGTGAAATCCTTTGTATAATGTGTCCATTTTTCTTTATTGGGGTCTTGGTATCGTATTCTCTCCAAATGTTTTATCCATCTATTCCTTTTTGGCAGCTGCCACCCAATGTCTGGAGAGTGTTCTTGCAAGGCTGGCTGGTCTGGGCTCTCTTGTAACGAAACCTGTTCTCCAGGATTCTATGGTGAATCTTGTCAACAAATCTGCAGTTGCCGAAATGGTGCTGACTGTGACAGCGTGACTGGAAAATGCATTTGTGCCCCAGGATTTAAGGTAAATAGTTCTGATTGTTATTTCATTGGTTGTCTGCCTTTGAATATAGAAGCAGCTTCCTATAATGATAGCTATTAGGACTATGATGTTCCTTCAGAAGAGGTGCTTCACAACACACAGGAGTGCATATAAGAAACTTTCTTTCAATAGAAGAGAATATCTGTAGCTGAGAGTTGAACTGTGGAGTTCTTGGTGCTCTCTGAGCGTGGTGGTTGCTTGTATACATTTCATTATCCAGCTAGGTAACACAACCTTGCAGACGTTTCATTACCCAACTAGGTAACATCATTACACTGATAAGGTTATCTTTTTATTTAAAGACCTGATTAAATCCTTTTCCTTAACATTGCATTTTTGCTTATCTTTTGTCAAATGCATTCTAGGGTCCTGATTGTTCTATTCCTTGTCCTGTTGGAACATATGGAATAAAATGTTCATCTATGTGCAACTGCAAAAATGAGGCTGGCTGTTCCCCAGTGGATGGTTCTTGTGTCTGCAAAGCTGGTAAGAGAAATAATTTACCTTTTGTAGTATGAAATTCATACTAAACATTTTAATAAAAAATGGGATGGACCATTAAAAGAATGAGGATCATAAACAACACAGTACTGCTAGTTCCAGCATTCTCACACTTCAGCTTCATTCCAAATATTTTAATTCCATTTACTCCACTGCAGGCTCCTTGTTTAATCCTCTTGAATCAGTTCCAAAACTTAAAAAAAAACTTTTTGTCAAAATCCCTCTGTTTTTTCTCTGCCTCTTTTAATCATACTTGTTCCTTACTCTCTTTGGCTACATACTTTGCAATTATCTGTCTCTCCTCATAGTATATACCATATACATCATCCTCATATTTGCAGCAATCATATTCTTATATGCATTTTTCTAACCCACAAGAGTCATTCTGTTTCCACTCTAGTTTCGTTCACACCTTTCTTTTCCCCCAAGATCCATTCCTGATACCACCAAATAATGCTACGTCCGACATTTAGAACATTTCATCATTCCTATATGCTTCACTAATTCTTTCAGTCTTTCATAATGAACAATCAGATCACTCATGCTGTTGATCCATTCCCTATTCATGTAAATATATGAACAGACGTAAGCTTAAACTACGTATTTGAAAGCAGCAGACATTTTTCTAAGCACATACTAACCAGTCAGCAATCTCATTCATCTCTGAATGGCCCAGTAACTTTTTCTGTATTCTGCCATTTTGTTCCTTTGTTCCTACTTGTACATTCATGTCTAACAGAATCTTATTTATTTATTGAATTTATATAGCCACCCATCTCAGCATTGTGACTCTAGGCGTCTCACAATACAAAAATCATAAAATGTATAATATTATAAAGCAACATTACAATGTAGCCAAGATCTGTTAAGATTATTTCCCAATCAGAAACCCATACATAACAGGCTCCACTAATACCCCGGGCCCAGTGCCAAAGGGAAAAGCTAGATCTTTAAGGCTTTCTGTAAAACGAACAGGGTCAGGGCCATCTACATCTCAAGGGAGGCTGCTTGATGGGGCAGGCTCTGCACTTCCTGGGTTCCACTAGATGGCACTGTTTCACAGAAGGGATTGAGACTATGACCACCCTGCTCACTCTGATTTTATCCCCTTGATCACAAGTTGCACAATTTTTCTCAAACTTATCCCTGGTTTTTTATTATCACCATTCACTGGAGCATACCACAGTTATTACTGACCTATAGATTCCTACTTTTATACTCCCCCATAACAACCTAGATGATACCAATCTATACTTTCTGACATATATGTTTTCCATTTTGTTCATAAGTAAACCTACACCTTCACTTTCCTGCATGTATTCATCAACTCTACAAGATCAGAACTTTATTCATAATTATTACATTGTTCTTCTTTCTCTCAGTTGTATACACACATACACACACACACACATTTCCATTTCCATTTCCATTTCCTCTTGTTTCTTTCATTAATTCACTATCTTTAGCATTTTTCTCTTACATTCCAGGCTGCAATCTTCACAATGCTATGGTTATCACCCGATGGGTGCATGGATGCTGACCATCATGGCTTTGGTCAATTGAAGCCTTTGTATAACTCTTTTTAGCAGACTAGAAAAGATTAAACAAGGTTACCAATTGTAATCATATGCACATTCTTTGTTAATGATTAGGATAATACAATTTAGCGTTGGCACATTTTGGCCACTCGGCCACAAGTGCAACTAAAGCCCAGTTTTACATAAAAGACATTCATACTACACTAGGCCACCTAAGATCCCTAATCTAGTGTCTGCTTTGTTGTCAATATACTATTGCCTGCATCCCGCCAACTGGGAGGAATATGCAGTATACTGCCCTAGACTCAGGATCCCAGTTGGAAGGCATTTAATTCAATTTGGCAATTCAATTAGGCTTTCAATTCAAGTTTCAGTTTAGAGGGGTAATTCCATTGACTGGAACTTTACTCAGCTGTACAAATTATCAGGCCCCAGATCCAAAGAATTAGGAAAGAGTGAAAAAAAACAAACCAAAGAATTCCTTCCAGCATTTGTATTCTATCCCCTTCCAGAAGTAGCACTGCCTTTATTCTTCTAAAAATGTTCATATTCTTATTTTAGCCATTTCTTTGACTTTCATTTGTACAGCCATTGCTTATCAACAACATACAAACTTATTTATTTATTTAATCAATCAATCAATCAATCAATCAATTTATATAGCTGCCCATCTCACCACAGGCTACTCTGGGCAGTGTACAACAAAGCTAAAAACAGCAAATACATTAAAAATATATAAAACAAAATAAAACAGAATAAAAATAAGGTTTTACAATCCCTCACCGCAAATTGCTTAATGGCATTTGTAGATCTAAAGACTTCCTAACCAGAAGTGCATCTTATGAAGTCAGCCGCAACTTATGAAAAGCTTATGTCTTTTAATAAAAGTTGTTAGTTGGAAAAGGGGCTACTAGACTACTGATTTTTTGCTACCATAGACTAACACAGCTACCCTCCTACAATTCTGCCAAAAGTACGTAATTCTGAGAATGATATATGTCCAAAATAATTTCCTATTCAAAAAATGAAAAAAGTGCTTATCAGCTCTTATTAGCTGCTCTTATCAAGGAAGGACTTCAAAATTAGAATTCTACACTGAAAAGAGGCATTTTCTTTTTACTGTGTCAGGTTGGCATGGAGTGGATTGCTCTATAAATTGTCCTAGTGGGACATGGGGTCTTGGCTGTAATTTAACATGTCAGTGCCTTAATGGAGGAGCGTGCAATATTCTGGATGGAACCTGCACCTGTGCTCCAGGTTGGAGAGGAGAAAAATGTGAATACTCCTGTCAGGTAACAAAACAGAGTCCACTGAAAGCTTGATTTGGAGACTACAATAATATAAGCCATTGATAAATGTGTTGAATATTACAAGATTATATGCTATATTTTTAAATAAAGCCTGGCTACATTATTATCACAGGTATTACAGCGGGTAAACAGATAGCTCATCCATATATCCCATTAACTGCAGCACAAGGATGTCCCCCCATCCCTTTTAGAGGGCACATTTTCAAGATGCAGCCTTTGTTTCATCCTTAGCCCATCATCATATAGACAGTCTAAATTTGTTCTTTGCAGTTTAAAGTAGTTTTTTCCACTTTCTTCTACACACATCTTGACGTAGAAACAATTTACATCTCATTCATGATGATGATAATGCAGTCAGGGAATGAATGAATGAATATGCTAGACCCATTCAAAAATCAAATCTCTTATTATATCAATAATATAAGGCTTGCATGTTAACTGCACCCAAAATAAATTTGACATCAATTCATTTTCTTCCTGGCAGGATGGCACATATGGCCTGGACTGTTCAGAGCGCTGTGACTGCAGCCATGCAGATGGATGTCACCCAGTAACTGGTTATTGCCGTTGCCTCCCAGGATGGTCAGGTAAATTTGAAACTGTTGTGACAATAAGAGAACACCATCCAAATTTTGATTTGGCTTAGCCGCCCTTGTGTAAATTAATAGCATCCTGATCAATTTATGAAAGATTCAGGGTAGATTCTGTATTAATCAGAATGAGTCCAAACTATACGTGGTACAGTTCAGATTAATTGCATAAGCCTTTCTCAGAAAATTAACATCTGGGGAGATAGTAGTTCTCTGGAAAGGAGTGGTTTTATCTAGTTAGTTGTGGGCCTTTAACTTATCATGACATACACCCATTGATTGATTATGTGCCATGAAGTTGTTTTTGATTCCTAGCGACCACATAGATTTTCCCCATAATATAACCCATAGACAAAACCTATGTCCTTTGCAACACTGTAATATTTAAAAGGCATATACAAAATGCTGTAAATTGCTTCGTGTGCTTCGGAATAGAAGACACTTGAGCATCTCTATTAATAGAGAGGCTGCTGCATTCTGCACTGGCTGAAGTTTTGAAATTTCATTGCTTCCATTCTTGTAAGAGTCCAAAATACTACAGATACACTGTTAGGATATTGTTTGTGTTTTGAGGACATCCATCTTAGTACAACCTGGACCCTAATTAAAAATGCTATTATATTCTCCAGGCTCTGCTCTATTGTATTCTGATGATTATGCCTCTGGTATCTACTGCCAGACTAGAAAGGTATGCCAATTTGATCAGAAGAAATTCAGATTAATCAGGCAGTTTCTAAAAACCATAGTGATCTCATATGGTCAAATGTTATATTATAGCTATTTTGACAGGGCTGCTTCCAAATTGTGTTTCTTAGATCTATCCTAATCTTGTTTACTCCAGACTTTTTAAAGTCTCATGATATATTTATTTATTTAGTAAATTTATTTAGTAAATATTTAAAAATACACTTCTACCACCTCCTTAACAGAGAAAATTACTAGAATTACATATATTCTGTGTATTGTACGCCACCCAGAGTCACCTTGTGTGAGATGGGCAGCTATATAAATATGATAAATAAATGGATAAATAAAATATTGACTTCATAGTATGGTCAGAATGTTTAACAAGATACAAGAAAGGTACACACTGAACTTTATTACAACTGCAGCTCTGATGCTAGCCTAAGAAGATACCATTACTATATCTACAAAGTTAATCCTGGCAATTCTTCTATAATCTGACAGTATCCTACAGAGCCATTTCTGAAAATATGCTTTCCTTTTACTGGTTTTCTTAACTGATGCAAATGCTGCATTTCATTATTTTGTTCACATGAATAGAAGTTTTTCTGTTTTTCTTTTCTTTTCTAATATTTATTAGAAGAAGGTTTCTTTGTTGTTTAGTCGTTAAGTCGTGTCCGACTCTCCGTGACCCCATGAACCATACTGCGCCAGGCCTTCCGGTCCTTCACTGCCTCCTTTCTGTTTTTCTTTTCTTTTCTAATATTTATTAGAAGGTGATCGCTGACCTTGAGCCAGACATCCTAGAGAGTGAAGTCAAGTGGGCCTTAGGAAGCATTGCTAACAACAAAGCTAGTGGAGATGACAGTATTCGTGATCGCTGACCTTGAGCCAGACATCCTAGAGAGTGAAGTCAAGTGGGCCTTAGGAAGCATTGCTAACAACAAAGCTAGTGGAGATGACAGTATTCGTGATCGCTGACCTTGAGCCAGACATCCTAGAGAGTGAAGTCAAGTGGGCCTTAGGAAGCATTGCTAACAACAAAGCTAGTGGAGATGACAGTATTCGTGATCGCTGACCTTGAGCCAGACATCCTAGAGAGTGAAGTCAAGTGGGCCTTAGGAAGCATTGCTAACAACAAAGCTAGTGGAGATGACAGTATTCGTGATCGCTGACCTTGAGCCAGACATCCTAGAGAGTGAAGTCAAGTGGGCCTTAGGAAGCATTGCTAACAACAAAGCTAGTGGAGATGACAGTATTCGTGATCGCTGACCTTGAGCCAGACATCCTAGAGAGTGAAGTCAAGTGGGCCTTAGGAAGCATTGCTAACAACAAAGCTAGTGGAGATGACAGTATTCGTGATCGCTGACCTTGAGCCAGACATCCTAGAGAGTGAAGTCAAGTGGGCCTTAGGAAGCATTGCTAACAACAAAGCTAGTGGAGATGACAGTATTCGTGATCGCTGACCTTGAGCCAGACATCCTAGAGAGTGAAGTCAAGTGGGCCTTAGGAAGCATTGCTAACAACAAAGCTAGTGGAGATGACAGTATTCAGCAATGCTTCCTAAGGCCCACTTGACTTCACTCTCTAGGATGTCTGGCTCAAGGTCAGCGATCACACTGTGTTCTAAATATCACCCAAAATTACAGATCTGGGATATAGTTAAAGTCTATCTTCATATTTCATAGTTCACATTCACAAATGCCAGAATGTACAGTATGTTATGTTTGACAATACTGCCACTTGTCTTTGGGCAAAAGTTTTTTTTGAAACACCCAATACCAGGAAAGCTGTCTTGCTTGTATCATGTTACATGTCTAGAAATTGCTGACATGTTTCTCTTTTTTAATATTTAATTCAAATAGGCTGAAATTTTATTTATTTACTTAGAACATATTATACTTAAGAAATAAAACTATAAAGCAATAAAACCAGCCGTACTCGATTAAAGATAGCAGAGCATAAAAAAATGTATAGAGATTTCTTAGTAGGATTTTTGCATTTGTCACAATACAATCTGATGATCCAGTGATAGGCCAAAAAAGTAAGAACTGGAGGCCTTTTTAATACTTGAGATCCATGACAGGTATAGTTCAGATTTTGTTCAGTCTCTATCACCAAGCAAACTGACCTGATTCAGTTTTCTCAGGATAATGAGTACAGGTAGTCCTTGGCTTACAACCATTCATTTAGCAACTGTTCAAAGTTACAGTGGCACTGAAAAAAGTGACTTATGACCAATCCTCGCACTTACAACTGTCACAACATCCCCACGGTCACATGGTCAAAATTCAGGCACTTGGCAACCGCATGTATTTACGATGGTCACATGATTGCCATTTGCGACCTTCCCAGCTGGCTTTTGAGAAGCAAATTCAATTCAATTAACAACATGGCAAAAAAGGTCGTAAAATCAGGTGCAGTCACAAGATGCCTTGCTTAATGACCACACCGCTTACTGATAAATTTTCTGGTCCCTATTGTGATCGTAAGTAAATTGGAATACAGTTATCCTTTGGATTTCAAACTTCTTTAAATTTGGAATGTACTTCTCAGATTAAAAAAAAGTATCAAGAGGCATTTAAAACGCATAAACATATCAGGTTTTGCTTATTGCCAATTCTTATTCCTTTTTGGTCACAAGTATTTAAACCAATTTATGAGACATATTAAATTAACGGATTTAAAATTAATTCCTCAGTAATTTTTTTTCATTCATTCTTGCTACCTTTACCTTGTTATAACGGAACAATGAATGGACAATTACAATTGTCAGGCACAGATGAAGTCTTCATTAATATGTTAAGTTGCAAAATTAGATCTATAGTATTAATTAGAACTATAGTATAGTTTTAACATTTCTTCACTTATACCTTCTACAAACTTATTGTTCAACCTAGTCACAGCACTGATGACTTTTTTTTCATCCATTTTTTTCCTTGGACACTAACATTTATAGTGTTTCTTTCAATTCTGTTATTCAAGACATTATTACCATTCCCATGCAAATCTCTGAAATAGTCCTTCCTAGCCTTTCATGTCTTCAGTTTCATCCCAACCAATTTCATTGCTTTTATTTTTAATTCTATTCACTCTGCTTAAGGGTCTTTGTTTAGCCCTCTCCATCCATTTCCAGAACAAGTTTTTATTTAAATCAAAACCATTCTGCATTTTCTTTGTCTCTTTTAATCTTAACTGTTCCTTGATCACATTAATTGCACTCTTTGCAAATATCTTTTTCTCTGTATACACATTTTACAACATCTTTTCACTTAAATCTAATTCCATCAATTATTCTCTTATATGTATTGTTGCTCATTCACAGCCCTTTTCACTTAATCATTCCACCAAGCAATGTTTTTCATACTTCTCATTACTGTAACTTCACCCACTTTGGTGGTACTCTATAATGTAACTCTCTTCCACATCAGAGCAGCTTCCACACCTTCTTTCTATATGCTCATTTTCTATTAATACTGTTGGAAAATTACTCTACTGTATTTTCTAGTACTTTTTCATACAGGAGAGTCTAATTCTCCTTTCTTTTATGTCTTTCCTTTTGTTTCATGTTCATTTGTTTCCAAAGTTCCTCTCTTGACACTACCAAAATATGGTCTGTTCCATATTCAGACACTTGTCACATGTCTTTCAGTAATTCTCAGCTTTTCATCAAAAACAAGCAAACGTGCTTTTAGATTTACATTCATTTCTGTCATATATAAGTATAAACCATGTAAATGAAACAAACGGACATTTTTCTAAGCAGACACTCACCAAACAGCATTCCCATTTATTCTTGGGTCGTCACAAGGCCCTATCGCTTTTTCTGCTCACTCTCTTCTTGTTCTCATCCATCCATTCCTGTCACCTGGCAGCATAATTTTCCCACAAGTAGCATTCATTCAGAACGTTACATAATTTTTCCCCAGACTCATCCCTGGTACTTCCATTGTCACCATTCAGTGGAGCACAACATGCAATTATAATGAGCTATGGATTCTTACTTTCATATGCATCCTAAACAACACTAAAGAACACAATTTCATATTTTCTGTTATTTACTATTCATTCCCTTCATTCATGATGTAACCTACACCTTGACTTCTCTGCGTGTATTCCTCAATTCCACTACACAGCATCAGCTCACAATATCCTTTGTCTTTCTCTTACTTTCACAGACACACAACATAGCTATTTTTATTTCATTTCATTAATGAATTCATGCTCTTTACTATTTATTCCTCTTACATTCCAAGGCATAATCTTCCATATACTATGATCATCATAATAAGGGCCCATAGATATTGACCTCTGTCACCAGTCATGGCTTTGTTCAGTTAAGATATTTACATAATCCTTTTAGTGGTATAGCTAAAGTGATGGCTAGGTTTCCAGCCTTAGTAATACCCATGCGACATGCAGAATTCTCTGCTAAGAGTAAGGACATACTAATTAATTTTGGTTAGTATGCCAAAAGTACAGCAAATCCAACTATACTCAAAGCATTTCATACTATTCAGTGCAAGCTAGTTTCTCTAATCTAGAACTGCCTTTCAAGCCAACAAACTGTTGCTCACATCCACAGACTTGCAGTGTACCAACCTACACTCAAGATACATGTTAAATATTTAGTTAGTTAGTTAGTTAGTTAGTTAGTTAGTTAGTTAGTTCTATGCATCATACCTCTCTCTTTCTCACTGGTGAAATAGCTGAGAGATACTGACTGTCCCAAAGTGATCCAGTAAGCTCCCATGGCTGAGTGTGGTCCAGCACCATGTCTCTCCTAACCTTGTACACCACCCAACTATTGGACTGTAGTGTTAGGATAAAAATGCATTTAATAATGTGCATTTAGATTAATGATACATTTACAGCTTCGAGCTGTAAGAAAAAAAAGTAAAGGATATTTCCATATTAATTTTCATGCTCTTTTTCTTAATCTATAGATTAAGGCCACTCTGTTTATGAATAGTCATATGTAAAATTGACATGTACATCTTTGGCAATTGATAACTTCATTTTGTAATTTGAATAGCACAGTTAAATAGGACAGATAGAACTCTCACCTCTTCAGTGTAATAGCCCTAGTCTGTCTTTTTGTCTTTGCTGAGATCAACAATCCTGGGTAGGGATGAGTTAATCCATCAAACTCAATATGGTTCAGGTTTTCATTTTTCTAATCTTAAAACTTCTACTCCCTTTCCACATAGCAATTATTTTCACCATTTGTATTCAGAAAAACAGATATTTGTCCATATTATTTTAATGTAGATTCTGCCTTGCAGACCTGGGAAAGAATGTGTTTGGTTCAAGGACCTGCAGACAGGTGCCACATTTGCAGTCCTGCACACTGCAGAGCATATTTTTGCCTTTGAATCCAAAGTATTGCACAACCCCAGTATTTACTGCTTGTGAAGAGGGCCTTCCTTTGACTTGTTTGTACCTTTGAAACATGAGTAATTATATAAAATATCAGTTAATATGCACTCCAGCAGCTGTCAGCATGGATTATTTACTAGATCCCAACAACAGAGATGTTTTCCCCATGTCAACGTTACCACAGTGTTTCATAGTAGTATCCCTGTTTAAATACCAAAAGTGTTTTTATATAGACTACATAACTTTATAGTAGAATAAATAATATCACCCAAGTAATCATTCCCTTCATTCACACCATTATATGTGCTGCAGGAATGCTAATTTAGAAGTGAAGCTCTTGGCATAGTTCTCCGAGTTTGAGGATTTCTTCAGAGCTGCTTAGCTGAAGTTTATCATGACCATTTTGCTATTGCCTAGCAACTTGTAAAGGCCATAAAAGAGTTCTTTGTCCATTCTCCTGGCAAAACATTTCCTGACTGATCTGTTCATCAGGAATGAAATTAATGGACTTATTTGCTAATAATTCTTTTGTTTCATAAAATGCATTTTAAATATTCAAAGTTTACACATAAAAAGCATTATTTGTAAGATTTTAATGTAAAAGCCTTCTGTGCAAAGTACTCATGCAGTACAGTCAGCTGTGGGCTGAAATATCTACACATTAAAGCAGCACTGTTTGCTGACATGTGTTCTTCAGAACATGAACGTATGCAAATATGTTCCTGTTCCTAATTCTTTCAGCAATGTTTAGTTAAATAGATCTGTTAATAAAGACATATGTAAGAAAACAAATTCATCAGGGCAATAATTGCTCTGCATGTGTACAAAAATAATACAATTTCATTACTGGTCAGATATGTTGCCATATTATACTAAGTACAGTTTAGCATGTAACACTGCAGTGAGTTTCCCCTCTACTTTCAAGCTACAAGGAAGATGAGGGAAGTTTTTGCATCCATTTATGCAGCCTTCTGTAACTACTTCTTAAGTAGTTTTTATTTAAAAGAAATCAAATTAAAAGCAAGCTGATTTGTTTTTAACAAATCATAGCTAATACTAACCACAGTTAAGTTTTAGGCATAATAAAAATAGAATTAGAGGTTTTCAGTCTCCTCCTTACTGTTGTGCCACAGGAGAAAAGAACACACACAAATTTAAGACTTTAGTAGATAGATAATCCTCATTTTGCTAAACTGTAATTTAGGATTGTCTACAAATATAGCCATAATGCTATTTCAGTTTAATTTCTCTATGCCCGTACATTATTAAATTTCATTAAGATATAAGTATGTATAATCATGAACTAATATGCATCTAAAATCTATTAAAATATATGTACTGGAAATACCTCTTCACTTTTCAAAACAATAAATTTGCTTTTGATTTATTGAATTTAATTAACATAAATAATATATTTATAATGTATTAATATTATAATATTATATTATTATATTAATTAATAAATTAACTTAATTTATTAACAGAACAGTCCTACATATCTACTGAAAAATAAATTCTGTTCAGTTTAATGGTGGTTTATTTCCGGAGATGGGAAATAATAGCACGGCTTATATTTGATGAAAACAGTAAAAAGGAAAAAAAACCCAATCTCTTAAATAAACCTTGTTTTGTCCTTGTTTGGCCCCAAAAGAAGCAACAATATTACTGGGAAATCTCTTAAAACGTTTATTTCAAATCTGTGTACATTAATTTCTATATGTAAGCTTAAAATTTATAAAATGTAGCAGCACAGTCACATTTTTAAGGTGTGGTGTTTGCACAGCTTTCAGGGGATCTAATGACACTCAGTGTAGATTCACCAAGGAGTTTAATTCAGATGCAAATTTAGGTGGCTCAGTTAAAATTCCAGTTAAAAATGACTGTTCTAAGCTTTTGAGAAATAAGTTACTTTGTGACTTGATTCAGAAAACAGCTATGCAGACAACAATCAGCTTGTGAGATGTTGATGGTGTAACTTCTTTTGTGTCTTGATGGTCAGTTCAAATTCCATTCAAATTTTCATTCAGCCAGGAAAAGTAGCCCCTTTATAGTTGTTCAGTATCCTGTGTAAAATTAGTTTCTGAGTTCTTGTCAAATTTCAGTGTGATGCATTTTCCACTACAGTTAGTTCTGTAGTTATTTCTCTAGCAGATTTGATAAAAAGACCCGAAATGTAAAAGATTTAACCTACATTCCCCTTTATTCTAACCAAGAAAATATTCCAAACAAGATTCTTTTCCCAACCCCCATAGATTATTATATGGATAACTATAAGTAGGTTTTTCTTAGTTTTACTCTCTTTTATTAAAGTGAAAAGGAAATAGAATAGAAAAATACAAATATCTATATTAGTACCTTTCAAATACATATACAAATTAGTAAGATAACAAGATAATTTCAGACATAATATACAATATATAATTTTTAAAAAAGAGAAAAAGTTTAGTTTTACCAAATACATAAAATTATTTTTATTAACTGTAAAAGAAAGAGAGACTGTAGTTCCAATGACTTGTTTTGTGCAATCAAGTGAATTTGGCTTCCATTACTTTTATTTGGTTAGCGTTTTATTTGGTTAAAAATGTATATATTTTTAAATACTTAAATAATATTTAAAATTATTATTTAATCTTTGCCCTTCTAATAGATTAAACTCAGATATTTAAGCTATTCAAAAAAATGATTTAATCACAATATATTGCAATTACATAATGCTGCAAGGCAACATATTCATAAATTACAGATACAAGTAATTTCAATTGCCTGGGGAAATAAGTAGGTCTTGATCTGAAACCCAAAAGATTCCATCGTTGGCATCAGCTGAATAGTGTATCACTATCTAATGAGAGCTATTCCAGATCAGTCACCCAATCATTTTGGTTTCTTATTTCTTATAGCAATTCTCCCTTTTTTTCCCTAGTTTGAGTTCATTCTCTCCCTGCTTTAATAAGAGGCTTTGTTTCACAGTGTCCCAAAACTTACTTTGTGTGGCTTCAGATATAGTAAACAATCAGATATACATAGATAATCTCTACATCAGTGTCCCTTTTTGGTCAGATAGGCATAATTTTGATTTAACTTTTGTGTGTTTCTAAACAGATGACTGTCACTTTACTTTCAAAGAGTTCCTCTATATGCACAGCCCAGAAGTATTCTTCTTGAGCTACTTGGTACTTGGTACATGGTACTTGAGCTACCATGTTGCTTTACAATTTGCTGGCTTCCCATTTAAAAGAGAGAAAGAAATAGAAAGGGTATAGAGTCTAGCAGACATCACTTGATCTGTTAGTAGGTATATAGAAGCCTATAGAAGTCATGCTGAGACTCCAGGCTTACATTGTGCTTTATTCTCTATTTTATTCCTGGTAATTTTGTTGATCTTCTAGTATTGGGTTAATGATAATCGTACATATTAATTGTTTGCAGGTATGCATTGTGACAGTGTATGCGCTGAAGGGCATTGGGGTCCAAACTGTTCATTGTCCTGTTACTGTAAAAATGGAGCATCATGTTCTCCAGATGAAGGAATCTGTGAGTGTGCACCTGGCTACAGGGGTACTACTTGTCAACGAAGTGAGTTTCCTGTTCCTTGTTTAGTATGATTACAATACTAATATATAAGCAAACAACTTTATGTTAGGAAAAAAAAATAATTCTTACAAAATGATATGTTGAGATAGTAATCTTACTACTTTTTCATTTGTAAAATTGCCATATATTGTGTGTATATAAAGGTACATATTGACCCCACCATCCAACATCAAAAAGAACTATAGTCATATATTTAAAAAATTATATACTTGGAGGAAGTACCATTAACTGCCTCTGTTAAATCGGACAAGAAAAATTAATCAGGATGGATCCAGTACCCACAGGAAAGCTAATGAAAATAAATACTCTGTTCTGTTTGGTAGCTCCATACTGGACATTTATGACAATTCTGAATTATTTTCTCCCTGGTAAATTCTTGTAGCTACTAGCATTGACACAGAGAGCTTCTAAACCACTTGGTCAATTCTAAACTACTTGGCCAATTCAAAGCATGGTTAAGGGTATGCTATCAGTAGAACTATTGTATACTACTTATATTTTAGTTGCAAGGCCAAGAAAACTTAATTTTTAAAAAAAATGATACTAGAGCAGAATCTACCTAGAAGAGGTAAATAGAAGAAAGTTCCTCTTTGCCCATTGATGGCCTACATTTATAATTAATTTGTTGACTTATTAAAAATCAACTGAAGCAGAAGGTTTAGAGACTATTATTTAAACATATTATAAAAAACTAAAGTAGAAAAAAAAAGTAATGATTATATACATAAGGAGAATCCCAATAATGAAAAAGGAGGAGGGTAATGATTAAGGAAGACCAGCTGAAACAAAACAATGGCAATAAATGACTTAATTATATGATATATGAGTCAAATCCTGTTTTAAAACCACACCTTTGGGGAATATTTCTTAGTCAATATTATATTGACTTAGATTTCCATTGTCTATTTCCCACTCTAATTAGTTACTAACTGTTCTTTGCTCTAATTCTCATGACTCTACCCGCTCTCCCTCCTAGCCTGATCACTTTTTTTTTTCCAATTGTACTCCCTTTACCCATAAAAGCTTTCTAAAAATCCTTACCAAAGAATAGACATTTTCTGTGATCCGTCATACCTTTAGATGAGTCTTTATTCTGAGAGGGAACTGACATCCTGGCTCTGAATGCTGGAAAAATATGACTTTATGATATTATCATTTTAATTCTTCTAAGCATTTCATGTTAGTTATTATAAATTGGAATCTGACTCATGACATGAGATTTATGTGGTAGTCCAGGATACATAAACTGGTGCATCTTAATTAACAATATGCTCATGCATCTTAATTAACAAAATAATCTGAGTGGTTGATGTTAAATCATCCCTTTATTCTATAGAATATATATTCTATCAAATTTACTCCCACATAAACTCCATTGAATTGAACTGAAGCTACACAGCAGCCACCCTTGATGGATAGTTTGCAAGACTAGCAACAATTGTTACCATCTCTAATGACTTTCAGAGTTAATCATTCAGTTAATGCAGAAGCATTGTAAATTAAATGATGTAATGGCATTATATCATAGAGATAGTCCAGGGACTCTCTCTGTTGTAAGACAGTGCATCTCAGTATATTCAGGACAATGTAGCATTTAAAACGATTGTTGCACTAATGATGTTTATACATCGACAGCTAACTTGGATGAAGAGAGGAGGAAGAAATTATGGATGTGCCAAACTTTTACTGAAAAACTGATGTTACTGGAATGCTTCCCCCCCCCCCCTTAGGGAACCTGTTTCAAATATGTCAGGCCAGTTGACTTCTAAGCAATTCTAAAAAATGTAAAAGCAAAATTTACCTTTGAAACTTAAGAACAGGCACTTAACTTGAAACATTGCTTAATATACTGATTGGTCATGAAAGGAATGGTAGAATATTAGATATAAAGAAATAAATTCTACCCAATGGCTTCTTTCTTCCTTAGTGATATATAAATCCAAATGGTGATATATCTCTGAAGAAAGGGTTGGTGTATTGGCATGAGAATGAATTGGATTTTTTTTTTCCTTTAAGTCATGAGCTGAATAAAAATAAGCAGCAGTGTGCAGCTCTCTGCACTTGTCCTTGTATTGAGAAAAATATTTAAGCTGCTCAGTTGCAGTGATTTCAGACTGGTCTAGTTAGAGAAAAAACAATATTACATTATTGACAACTATGACAAGAAAAAGTATAATTATGAGGATAATGATTTGTTATAAAGTGACTCCATAAGAAAAATAATAACAGAAATTTTAGGTAAACTTCACTGTGTATCTTACTGTCTTTAAATCTTAAGTAGTTATTATTTAGGAGGTAAAACTTTGGAAATTGAAAAAAAAAAAACCCTGGAAGAAGCAATAGTATATTGTTTTGATAATGTTGCCAAGAAAACAATACAGATGTATCCATAATGTCAGTGGGGGTTCAACTGGATCAGGAGACCAGCTTGATTTGAAGGAAACTTAATGGTTTTAACTGTATGAAACAAATAATCTGCATAAATGAGAACTTCTCAAGTATTTCCAAATCTCTCCAGATGAATCCAGATCACCTCTTGTAGATTTGATAAGTATGTGTGGAAGGTGAATATGATGGCATCTTTCTTCTTTCAGTTTGTTCTCCAGGATTTTATGGTCATCGCTGTAACCAGGCATGCCCCCAATGTGTTCACAGCAGTGGCCCATGCCATCATGTGACAGGACTATGTGATTGTTTACCTGGTTTTACTGGAGCTCTCTGTAATGAAGGTAGGAATGGTAAAATAATGCCACCAACTGTTCCCAGTTTTCTCCTTATAACACATTTGCTAGGCTTGTGCAAATCGTTGGATGAGCTGCTGTACTACGAGGAGGATAGCATCATCCAGTGAATGATATGTACAGGCCTATTATTTATGGTCAGAAAATTAAATTCAAATGGCGGCTCTGCATTTTCAAACATCTTTTTCCCTGCTATATATAAAATGTATTTAAATGCATATAGGTATTCTTTAAAAATCACTGTTCACCTTGTGGCAAAAAAAAAAGCAGGTGGAATCCGGTAGCACGTTTGCCAACTAATCATCTTCACTTCATTTGACAGAGTGAACTACAGCTCATGAAAGCTGATGCCTTTGTTAATCAGAAAAGGTGCTCCCAGACTACTCCTAATTTTTTTGTTACCCTGTGCTGACAATAAAATACGTCAGGGTAATAGTTTTCCATATATGATATTTTCACTTACTGAAATAATATTGAGTACTAAATAAGAACAAGGACTGAAGAGAAGGGGGAGGGTGGATGCACCATATAGAGGAAGCAGGGATAAAGAAATAAGGAATAAATAGAAGGCAGGCAGAAGTAGTGAGTCCTGGATAAAGGGAGGATGTGAGAAGTCTGCAGAGACAAAGAGAAGGAAACCAAAGAATGGGATGGGAGAAGCAAAAGTTATAGGAAAAAATGGTAACTCCTAATTAGCCATCCACTCAGCTACTGACATCTGACTATTAGTATAAAAATATCTAAAAAATAAAAAAATAAAAGTAAAGCACACAAGTATAAGAATGTAAGTATTCATGACCTCTGTAACTTCTTCCTATAGTTTGTCCCAGTGGCAGGTTTGGAAAGAACTGTGCAGGAGTTTGCACGTGCACTAACAATGGAACTTGTAATCCAATTGACAAATCCTGTCAATGTTATCCTGGCTGGATTGGTAGTGATTGTTCCCAGCGTAAGTACTAGCATTTCCTTCTTTGGGAAGTTTCTATTTGGGGTGCATTTCATTACAGTTTAGTTCTGTTTAATATTCCTCTAGTGATTAAGAACATATTTTTAACAGAAATAAAATGATTAGAGCAGCATGACTAATATATCTCAATATATTTGCATTTCTAATAGCGCATGAAATATATGCCATGTGGTTTTTCACTTTTGAAAAATTCAAGCTTTATAATATAGCCATTGATATAAATTCTATAAATAATTCAGCAGACTCTTAAGCATTTGCTGTACAAATAAATAAAAACCTTCCTATATGTTATCCATGGAAAGATATTCACATAAAAGAGGCTGGATAATATGGAGCCCTCCTTTATATGGATGTGAAGACAAGCACAGCTATAACACACTAAAATAGTGCAGATTTTCCCTGCATGCCTAGTGTTTTAGAGAGAAGTCAAACTTCTCAAAGATGCAAGTTCTTTCCTGTACAGGAGATTCACAACTTTCCTAGAAGAAATATGTAGCCTTGTATGTTCCCTGCCCACTTGTCAGCTGCAAACTGATAAATAGAACTCAGATACAAGCCAGGATGGCTGGAGGGCAAGGTAGTTGCCCATCAGAGGTTGAACAACCTCTGGCTGATGGTGCTGGAGTCTGGGCTGTAACAGAGAAGGAGCTGGCATATTTGAGCTTAGAGCATGTCAGTTCATCTAAAGAAACCATACAGTACAGCACTGCACAGTTAAAAGGAGAACTGAGTCAGCATAGGACCAGCAAAAAGAAACAGCAAAGAGCAAAGCTAGGGAGAAGCTGTCTACAGTCTGAGATAAAAGATGAAGCTTAGTTCCAAGTGACTCCCCCTCCAAGAGAAAAACAGCTACAATAAGAGCTAATAGGATAAGAAAATACTTTGTAGAGACTGAAAGTGAAAACAATTTGGAGAGAAGGGAAAACTGAGAAATATGTTGTTTCAGTAGGATTTACTCCCCAGTACACAATTGCCATCATATCATTGCAGATATTTTTGAGAACTAGAACCCCTTCATTAAAGAGATTTTGTTTTTTTCATCAGATACATTCTCAGTAGACATGCCTTTATCAGTGTTTGTCAGACATTTTGCTGGCCAAGGCATATTAATACCCCATTCCATGAAACAAACAAACAACAAACAAACGTGGAAATGGCTTTTACTTCACCTCTGGTGATGAAATGTGTTTCTGAGAGGAGTTGGCTGGCAAAATTAGTGGGCACAGAAGAGACTAGTATAGAAGGCATAGAATTAAGGGAAACAATACAGAGGTGGGGGAGAGCTACCATTGCCCTCCAATACCTGAAGCAGTATGTTTCACTCACAACAGGCTCGTTTAGTGACATAAACCCTTCTGTCCTCTACTAGGCAGAAATAATTGGAAGGCTTAGAAGAAATGTCCAGGAGTTACTACCCTGCTTTCAGTATGTGGTTCTCTCACTGGATAATTGTAGATTTGGCTCTTATTTCTTACATATGCATATGAAGTTGATAGAACTGGAGGACTTTTTGAGAAAGTTGGGGAATTTGGGAGGAAGTGTTTGCTTGCTGGGCCGCTGCTACTATTCAAGGACAGTACAGACTGAGGAAAGTGATCCAGGTAAGCAGCATCTTCCTGGCTGCCTTGCAGGAAGAAATGTCATGGTCATCATTACAGCAGAAGTGACCATAAGTGAGAGGGTAACAGCAGCTCATGTTCAAAGTGAGCAGAAGCACATACTGTACAACAAGATGAAAAGGAATGGAAGGTTGAACAGTGGTTGTGAAAAGGAAAGTAAGAATAATATAGCTGGATTGGAAAGACTGCTGGGGAGGTCAGTGTGCTGGAGAACAGAGAACTCAAAGTAACCAGCCTGGCTTCAGCAGCTCCTGAGAAGTCCTGATCATTTTTATCACAAAAATGATAAAACATAGTTGGTGATAGATTGCATTTGGACTGGACAGGAGAAACAAAGGAATGTATTTGAGTTTCTGATCCCTAGCTGAGAGCCAGGAGTGGTGAGGAAGGCTTCCTCTGAAGTAAGAGAATGGGAAGAAAGGATTCTTGCCCCTACTAATGTATGCCAAGAGGTAAATTGGCAGTAGGATGAAAAGTCAAGGAAAAGTCTGAAGGTTGGTCAGTTATGAAGATATGTGAATCTTGTAGTTTTGGTTGGTGGGTTGAATGATTCTATATTGTACATTCTGGAGGATGAGCAGAAGGTAATGGTTAGTAAAATTGAGTGGTTGTGTTGAGTGCTCTGGACCTATCTGCAAATGTGCTTTGCATATGGTGGTCTGTGCTAATGGAATGGATGGGTGGAAGGGGCTAAATGGGATGGTGGAGGAACTGGGGCTTAGATTAGATTCTAGGAATATGACAGTGGGGACACTGGGTAAGCTAGTTTAAGAGAACAGGACCTACATAGTGTTGCATCTTCTGAGCCAGTTGTTTCTCTCCTGGGTCCAGTTATCTGTATTGCTGACCATCTTAGCCTCAAGCTGTTGTTGGTAAATGCCAGTTCTGTACATAATAAAACTGTGTTTGTCTATGATATAGTGATGGTTGATCATGTGGATCTGGAATGTATTACTGAGAAATATGTCCAGCTGTATTTCAGGACTCCCAGCAACAATGATGTTAAGGCTGTGAATGAAGGTCAGAGGTAGTCATGATTGTTTCTGAGCTTTTTCAGTAGTAGGAAGCATTGCCTAGATCCGAATGCCTGTGTATGGAACTGAGCAGCAATGATAAACTAAGGCTGCTGTCCTGTCTAAAGTCAGTGATGCACACACACCAAGGAGTTAATTGCAAGACTTTACTTCAGGTTTGTGCAGGGTGGGTGTGCAAGTACATGCCTGAAACAACAAAGTACCAGTCCCTAGGGAACTTGTCTGCCAAGGTTCCAAGTAGTCAGAGCAAGTGGGGAAAGCAAAAGCATAGTTACGACACAGTCCAGAAGTCCAAAAATCCAAGTTGGATAAGATGAGTTATCAGGTGGTCTGGATTCCAAGGGGCAGAGTATCCACAGGAAATAGATTCAGGAGGCAAATGCACAGTTCCATTAGGTGGAACAGTTTTTTTCCAATGGAGGGTAGCATCATTCTTAAATAGTGCAGGTGTAGACAGAATGTCTTTGTACTGCTTGGCACTCTGCACAATGTGCTCTAGGGCTGGGAGAGGTCCTGGATTTGGTCTCTCATTGCTTAATTCTGCCAGCTGCCCTGCACGTTCCTCATCTCCATCAGCCTAAGGTATCTGATTGCTAGGCTCATCCTGAGACTGGCATTTATCCAGGGCCTCTGGAGTTGTGCCCCCCAGCAATTCCTGGCATTCATCTAGTGCATCAAAAGTAGTGTCTTCTAGCTCAGACTCTTCTGAATCTGAGCTTTCCATGACAGCTGCTCCTGGTGTACTGACTACTCCTGGATCTTATCTTGGATCAGGAGTTGAGGATCATGAGGCTTTTAGTCTTAAGTAACTTATATTTCCATGCCGTGGGAAATGGGTCCAGTGTAACTGGTTATTTTGTGACTTCCATGGCGACCATGGGCCTGTCATATCACCAGAGACCCAACTTACATTGGAGGGCACATGGTGAAGCTGATCTTTATTTTCAACAGGTGAGACATGATCTGGATATGGAGAATATTAACATCTCTCCTTTGCTATAGTCAGATCACTTCCCTGTTAAACTGCAGGTCATGGATGTCCTGGAACTCAGTAGAGGGAGTAGACCTATTAGCATGGGTGGGTGCCAAAGGGATCTGGACAGTTTTCAGAGGATTTTCCTGACGATTTGGCAGGCAGTTCCATCTTGTGCCTGGTCAAGCAATGGAATATGGAGGTAGCGGGAATGTTGAATAACAATGCTACTGCGAATCCTTGGCTTCTTTACCAGTCCCAGGTGTGTCCTTGCTTTACTGACTATTTGATGGAAATGAAGTAAATGAAAAGAGTGATGGTGGTGGAAAAACAGAAGTGGAAGTGACCAAATACTGATAAGAGCCCACATTCAGGCCTACACAATGGCAATAAGAGTGATGAATTTTCCATTCTTCTTTGGACTAGTTGTATCTGCAGATTCCTGATCAGTGTTCAGTGTAACCTGGATCCTTTAGGGAAGGCTGGATAGGCTCTTGCAGGCATAATAGATAAATCTGTGGGTTTCTAAGTGGATTATTGCTATAATATGAAAACATATTTGGTGTTTAATTTTCGGCTTACAGTATTTCCTTTGTATTAGTACATTGGTCATGTTTCTTGCATTACAATGTTCTACAGTGTCTATTCACAGCTATTTTAGTCTTGAGTATTCCATGCTACATTTTATATTTTTTTAAAATAGTAAAACGTAAGTTATACATCTCTTTTTTGAGACATACTAACAGCCATATCAAAATGCTAATTATTTTAATGTTTATTCATATAAATCAGTGCTTTGCGATTTCTTAAAAATATAAATTAAAAAAATGGATTTTATGTCTTGTGTTTTCAGAATTCTTAAGCACATTTATCTTGTTCTATAATGGTTCTTCTTCCTCACCAATGAGCACTTGATAAATGATGGAAAATGTGCTGGTTGAATGAAAGGAGATCTATGTTAAGCTAGGAAAAGTCCATTTTATGTGATTCCTGTAAAAGAAATAATATTTCTTTTAAATATTCCTGTAACATATCTAATATTCAAAATATTTAAAGTACCCCCATTACTTTAAAATGACTTTGGAATTATCTCTGTAAAACTCTGAAATGTTTTTATATGTATGACTTTGCAAACCACTCTTTAGTCAGATCTGGGCTGTGGACCGCATTAGTAATATCTGCGGAAGTCTCTTCTGAATGATAACAATGGTTTTAATCATGTGACTGGATATTTTTATCATATGCTCTTTTATTTCATGTGCTGTATTGTTAATGTTATATGTGGCAATGACCTCCACCCCACCCTACCCCGACATTGTCTCCAAAGGTCCCCTATGCAGAAGATTCAGTAGTCACTCTGAATGAAGATAGCATTGGCCAGTAGGCCATTGCAGACCTGACCATGAAAATGGCCAGTTCACTATATATAGGAGTCTTTCCATACTTAATTTTGTATAATGGTGGTAAAGGCTCCAAATTCACCACTAAAACAAATGATTTTTAAAGAATGGGCAATGTATCCTGTAGGACTAAATTTGCTTTTGGTATTATAAATTTAATTATTTGGTATTATAAATTAAATTTATAATTTATAAATTTATAATAAATATAATATAAATAAAAGTATAAAAATATAAAAATATAATTTTATAATAAATATAA